TTAACTGACTACCATAGTGCGCCCTGATAATGATATTGAGCGTGTGCTGTAAATCATAGCTCTTTACCGCACAACTTAACAACTATGCATCGAGAGAACATACCACCTCGTGACGATACAATAGCCTGCACTACAAGGTCAATCTATGTGCAGAACTTTGTGAAGGTCATGAAGTCATGTAAGATACAATAGTATAATTATCATATAAGTCATTGGCAAGGCCTAACGGTTATTGTTAGAGAATTAGAAAGATATATGTGTGTCTTATTTTTTTTGAAATTTATGAGAGTGCATCCAGGATTCATCCATAACTCAATGAAAATCCCAAAGAACCAGCTCCAAAAAGCTTCTTTCTCCTCCGCGCGAATCCGCGAGCACCGTCCAACCCTGCGCAGTGCTTCGTAGCAACTGTCCCACGAAAATTCATCCTGAGCTGATCCCTTATTAGATAATTCGTAAATTTATTCGTAAATATATGCAAGTAGGTAGGTCAGGTAAAGGTAAACAAATAGAATAGGTAATTTATCTAAGTAATTAATACATAAACAATGTAGATACAGATACTAGGTAATATATGAATATCAAGTGTGAAATATTATTCTTTAACGAGGCCGAGTGAGTGATGATAATATGATGGGAGAGAGAAATCATACTTTATATATAATAGCGATCTAATTCGATTATGCAGCGAATTTCAGTCATTTGTAATCTAGAAAATCAGTAGGCATCTTTACTTTAGTGACAGACGTAAAACGATAACTTTATAAACCGATATTTGAGGAAAGCCTAGCAAAAACCCATCTCCACCTATGACCACCACCATCACCATTTAAAAATCTGATATTTGTCATGGTAACTATGACGATTCCACTTTAACTTTCGGGGTTGATCATCGCCGTAACCGCAGCGACGCCGCTCTAATATTTGGTGTGGATCTTCGCCTTAACCATGATGACGCCGGTGACCTTGACCGTGACCGTGACCGTTGGGCATCACGTGACCGATGTCCTCGTCGAGGAAGACCTGTCTGAACATGTGCCTTTTTGTGATGTCATCGGTTTTTGCGGTCACGTGCTCTTGAATGATCACGTGCTCCTGAATGATCACGTGCTCCTGCAAGGCCACGTGCTACTGGTATGAAAATATTTTTACTGAATGAAAATAATTCCTGACATTGAATTTGAAAATTATACATTAGGCGCGTTCACACACAAGAAAAACCGCACTGCTCAGCCCGCTAATATCGGAGATAATAGTGAGCTAATTGTGTCGTTGTTCAGCACCAGGCGAATATCTCGGCTAATCGCGCGCGTGCAAATATCACGCCGCGGTGCAAATAAGTGAGGCTGATTCAAATTAGCCCCAGTCAGAAGCGGTCTTAGGAGCGGCTATTTGAGGCGCGATTTAGTGAGCTAATTGCGTTCACACTTGTAAAAAGCTCAGTTTTTCGAGCGAGCTACAAAAACCGGGTTTTGCAGCCCGCTAATTTGCGCCAGTGTGAACGCACCTATTGTAAATTTCTTCTGATATAATTTTTTTTTCTGACGTGATTTATTGGCTCCTGACATGAAAATATTTTTACAGAATGAAAATAATTCCTGACATTGAATTTGAAAATAGTACATCGTAAATTCTTTCTTATAATAATTTTTTTCTGACATGATTTTTTGGAAAAAGTATGGAAAAAAGTGTTTCAAGTAAAGAAAATATAAGTCGTGATATTAAAATTTGTTAAAAATGTATAAAATGTATGTCCTGCAATTAATTCCGCTTTGGCTTACCATATGGACGCATTGAATTTTTTCTCAGTTCGCAGCTCGCATAGAGGCATGGGTGGTGCGCTTTATTTATTTTTTATTTTATTTTTTCTTTTTTAATTATATATTTTTTTGTATATATTTTTTTTTTTATTTTTATAATTTTTTTTTTTAATTTTTTTTTAAATTTATTTTTTTTTATTTATTTCATTATTATTTTTTATTATATATATTTTCTTTATTATTATTATTTTTTTTTCATTTATTTTAGGACAATGCGAATTGGGTGTGGATTGGGAGTGGGTGTACAGCCACTCCGCACACGCTGTTCAAACTTCCACGTGCACGCTGTTCAAACTCCACACGTGGCCGTAGTCTGAACTCGACAATCGCAAATTTTTCGTTGCACCCAAGCTGTCTAAAAACTTTCAGCACTAACGTGCTTATAATGGTAAACTCTAGTTAGAATGACACGTCCTAAGTTTGAATCCCCGCAGGTTTTTAGTAAACACTTAACTAACTTAGTAAAATATTTGAACTACTTCAGCCGCGGAGAAACGACGCGCATACATATTAGCACTGCCAACAATGGCAGCGCTCACGACAAATAATCATCTAAACTCTCAAATAACCTCGTAAATATTAGTCTTCAAGTTTAATAGACTATATTGAAGACGGAAAGAGACTAGGTTCATAAATCTGAACAAAATGAAGTGCAATATTCGTGTAGTCAACGTTGAAAGTGCACGAGAATGTAGCAATAGTAAATACATGTAGTATAAAGTAAAACTAGTGGCTCCCGGTAGTTCTAGAACTAGTTTATTGACTAGTATAAAGCATAAAATATAGCAATAAAACCAGCTAGTTCTCCAACTATCAGTGGCAGATTGGTCGCAACGCAGATCAATGCTCGCAAAATAATTCTAACCATATTTGTAGGTATGCGTGTACATACGCGTATTGTACACATTTGACTGACACGTGTGTGTGTGTGTGTGTGTGTGTGTGTGTGTGCGTGCGTGCGTGCGTGCGTGCGTGCGTGCGTGCGCGTGCGTGCGTGTGTGTGTGTATGCTGTTTACCGTTGCACTATTTGGTCTCTAGAAAAGGCCTTTTGTGATGCGTATGCGACGAAACAGTGAGTATTTTTAATTAATTTCTGTTCCATGCTGATGCTTATATTCAGGCCTGCTGCCTATGGAGGCCTTCTACTGTTGTTACTGTTTTCCAACACCTTAATATGTGAGAAAAAAACGACGAAAGTTGAGAGGAAATAAATCAATAATAAAATAAATCATCAAAATTAAATAATGTCGATATCTTCACAGCCGTTTTAATTAACTGACGCTATCATTTCTTTACGTTAAATGTAAGATTCTTTGGTTTGTACACTTTGTGACACTCACAAGTCAGAAGACCTCACACAAACACACACGGAGGCGGGACTTAAACTCCAGACACTTCGGTCTGACACCACTCCAGGTCCTCCTCCTGGCCCCTCTTTCTCCTGCCACTAAGTCTCCCTCCCTATCACCCCTGAACCTCTCCCTAAACCTCACCTCCTACCCTTTCTCTTGGAAGTGCAGCGCAACAAATATTAAATAATGCCCAAAGCTGAAATTTTATTACTGTGACAGTCTATTTATGACTGTTTCTGATAACGGGACCTATTTTCTAATCTCATGTTAAATTGTCGAGGCTTTTCCTCATCGCTATCCTGCATGGCAGCTTCCAGAATCCGGCTGATATCCGTGCGCGCCTTCTTGAACTTCCGTTCTGACAAGTTCACCAGTGTCCCCTTGACGTAAGTCCCGAAGACCTCCGCTGGAGTCTGGGGCTGCATCTTCTGCTGCAACTGGAGCACCTGCTGGCCAGTCTCCTGCAGCCGCATCTGCAAGGTTGCCATGGCAGCGTCCTCCGAGTGCTTACCCTTTTCTTTGCCCCTTCCGCTGACTGCTGAGGCTTGCTGAGGCTCTTTCTCCTCTGCGTCCGCCTCTGCGCCGATCCTGGCGCACTCAGCCTCAGCAGCCGAGAGATCACCACATTGCGCTTGGATCGCATCCTTTACCTGCAAGTACGAAATAATAAAAATAATAAGTAAAAAGAATGCAAAAAAGGCTAATGCAAAAAAGATTGCAAATTAATTTTTTAGATACATTGGACACTGTGATAGTAAAGATACATGTTTACATAAAAAGCATCAATAGTCTAACAATATGCAGCTGTACTTACACTGCTAACTGCCTCTGGTCTGTGGTAGATAATCTTTTGGAGGAAGTGCAACTTCTGCAGGGTCCAGAGCTCCCTCTCTGTGAAGATCCGTTGCCCGGACCCGGATTTGGGCAGCTTGTCCAGGCGCGCGAAGTTGTCTCTCATGCCCTTAAACCACCCTTGCAGGTGAAAGACTTCCTTTGACATGGATTGTCCCTGCTTCTGCCATGCAGCGTTCCTTATGTCAGGTCTTTTGTAGTGCGTGGCCTTTTTGTTCCACAGCATTTCGTTCGCCTCCAAGAAGGAGACCATCAACTCCTCCTCCTTATCGGACAGCTTGTTGTCCTTCTTTTCCTTCTTCTTGCTCTTGGCCACAGTCGGTGCCAGCAATGCCAGCGATGCATGACTGTCTAATGACCCAGAGCGTGAGTGAGTAGGGGAGCCCTGAGGGGATGAGGATGGAGTGTGTAGCATCCTCGACAGCATCCTCGACAGAATCCTCGACGACAGCAGCAGGGTCCAGGCTGGGCAGATCTTTGAAGCTGCCTCTGCCTCCACGACCTCTGCCTCCACGACCGCTGCCTCCACGACCGCTGCCTCCACGACCACGCCCGCGGCCACCAGCAACAGGAGCAGAAGGAGTCTTCTT